CTGCCCGCGTCTCCGCCGTGCTTCCCAGGAGCCCACGAAAGTGGCAACAGTTGCGCAGTTCGCAGCCTCCGAGGGAGCCGCGAGGTCTCACATGGATCTGCGCTGCCCTCCTCTCCGCCGTGCCCCCCCCAGGAGCCCACGAAAGTGGCGACAGGTGCAGTTCTCAGATCCCGAGGGAGCCGCGAGGTCTCAAATGGATCCGCGCTGCCCTCACCTCCGCCGCGACTCGCAGGATCCCGCGAAAATTGCGACGGTTGCCCACTTCACAGCCCCCAGGGAGCCGCGAGGTATCGGCTTGGTACGCGTGGCCCCCAACTCCACTGGGCCTCCCAGGAGCCGCGAGGTATCGGCTGGGTGCGCGTGGCCCTCCACTCGGCTGGACCTCCCATGAGCCCACGAAAGTGACTACAGATGGGCAGTTCGCAGCCGCCCAGGGAGCAGCGAGGTCTCAAATGGGTCCGCGTGGCCCCCGACTCCGCTGGACCTCCCAGGAGCCCACGAAAGTGGCGACGGTTGCGCAGCTTTCAGCCACCCAGGGACCAGCGATGTCTCAAATGGATGCGCGTGGCCCCCGACTTCGCTGGGCCTCCCAGGAGCCCACGAAAGTGGCGACAGCTGGGCAGTTCGCAGCCACCTAGGGAGCAGCGAGGTCTCAAATGGGTCCGCGTGGCCCCCGACTTCGCTGACCTCCCATGAACCCACGAATGAGGCGACAGATGGGCAGTTCGCAGCCACCCAGAGAGCAGCGATGTGTCAAACGAGTCCGCGTGGCCCCCGACTCCGCTGGGCCTCCCAGGAGCCCACGAACGTGGCGACAGTTGCGCAGTTCTCAGCGCCGTGGCCCCCGACTTTGCTGGACCTCCCAGGAGCCCACGACAGTCGCGACATATGGGCAGTTCTTAGCGTCCTCGGGAGCAGCGAGGTCTCAACTTTGTCCGCGTGGCCACCGACTTCGCTGGACCTCCCAGGAGCCCATGAAAGTGGTGATCGTTGCACAGTTCGCAGCCACCCAGGGAGCAGCAAGGTCTCAAATGGGTCCGCGTGGCCCTCGAGTTCTCTGGACCTCCCAGTAGCCCACGAAAGTGGCGACAGTCGCGCAGCTCTTAGTCCCCCAGGGAGCAGCGTAGGATGAGGCAGGAGCCACAGGGGGAGGAGAAGGAGAATGAGAAGGAGGAGGAGAAGGAGGAGGAGGAGTATGAGGAGGAGGACGAGGAGGAGGAGGAGGAGGAGGACGAGGAGAAGGAGGACGAGGAGGAGGAGGAGGAGGAGGAAGAGGAGGAGGAAGAGAGAGGAAGAGGAGGAGGAAGAGAAGGACCAGTGCAAACCCAAGAGTCGTCAACGATATTGCAAAGCACCCTCCTCAAAATTCCCTCTGCATGGGCCCCTGCACGGGTTCAGTTTCACTGAGGGAAGTGCCCCGCTGGAAGACAACTCATGGAATATCATGAACTGTACCAGAACAACATTATTGGGACCTCAACGCCGCGAAACACCGTTAATGCTGCGTCTTGGCGGTTCTGATTCGTGCCAGGACACCATTTCTGGGACTTACCACCACGTACCAGCGTAACTGTCGCGCCATGACAGCTCGACATCGTACCAACGCACCATGTTGGGGATCTAAGCCATGAGAGTCTTTGAAACTGCCATAAACTACCAACAACTTTTTGAGCGAATGCGCGCGGCGCTAAGGCGAGAGCCACATTTTGAACAGAAACCGCCCTCCATCCGTGAAGCTGTTGCGTTTTTTCAGACGATCGTGCGCGGCACTACGGCGAGAGCCACATCTTGAAAACGGCCGGTCCTCCATCCGTGAAGCTGCTGCGAACTATTCTGGCGACTGTGCGCGGCGCTCGGGCGAGAGCCACGTTACGAAAACCACCCGCCCTCCATCCCTGAAGCTGCTGCAAATTTCGACCTTCCGGATCATGAGCGGTGAGGGAGTCTCCGGCGAAACGCCCGGCCCACCACCTCGGCCAGCCTCGGGGTGCGACAGGGAGGAGTTATTTATCAGGAAAACAGATGGAGGAAGAGGGGGGAGGAAAATGGAGACCGCAGTGCTTGATTCAAAATAAAAGCCCAATACACAGGAGGGTTGAGAATAGAATAATGCATGAGGTAGGGTCCAGGCGGAGGAGGAGGAGGAGGAGGGGAGGAGGAGTGGAGACCACAGTGCTCCATTCAAAACGAAAGCCCAACACAGGAAGACTGGTGAGTCAGGACTTTGGAGGTCTGGGTGCAGCCTCGACCTCCTCTGCGGGAGGTCAGCTCCATTCTCGGCAAGGCGGGTGGCTCGCCAAAAGGGATGGGGCGAAGGGGGGATGGACCCTCTGAGACTGCACGGGGTGGCGGGGGGGGGGCTTCTCGGAAGTCATGCTGCCTTCTGAGTGGCCTCCTCGGAAGCCTCCGACCCTTCCCGAGGACCGCCGCCTGCCTCGCGGCCGCCTCCCCCACCTGCCCTGCCCCTGGGACCAGCGTCCGCTCCCAACAGGTCTCCCGGCTGATGATGTTCCGACCTGCTGCAGCCGGGACCACCAGAAAGAATTTCGAGCACCAGGGCACAGCCGAAACTCAAGGGTTTTCACGTGTCGGGCCCTGGGAGGCGATTGTTGCTCGACACTTCGCCAGCGAATCGGGCAGACACTGTTTCGATACCTGTCGGAGTGCTCGAAATTATTTCTGTGATGTGTTCCTTAAGTGCGATGGGAACTACCTAACCTCAGGCCCCTCCTAGGGTCCGTCCTGGCCAGCTTTCCGAGCCGCCGCCCAGCCGTGGCCGCGAGGGCCCTCCAAGAGGCCCAGGGAGTGCGAGCAGCGCCAAAATCCTGGGGGCCGAACCTTTTAGGGGTCTCTGGCACGGCCGTGGCGCCGAACAAAATCCTCCAGACCTGCCAGCTCTCAGAGCTCACGACTTCTGTGTTGATGCCCGATCTTCACTTCGTCCCGCCGTCGTCAAGACGCTGAAGCGAGGATCACCTCGGGCCCTGGGAGGGACCCTGTTTTTGTTCGGCCGTGCCTCCAGTTTAGGTCGGGGAGCCTATTCGAGGCCGAGGCCCGCCGTGGCCAGAAAAGCGCCTCCCGTTCCTTCTTGGGCGCCCCTTCTATGGTAGCACGGCGTCAGTACAGTCAACCCGCATTAGTAAGGATGAGCAAGGTGCCAAGGCTTGCATTCTTGCCCCTTCGGCCCATCCTCAGCGAAGGTCGCTGGCCAACCTCGTTCGAAAGACGTTAACATGGCCGTCCAGGGCCTTGCATCCTTGTTGTGCGGCACGACTGTATCGGGGCCCCACCTGCACGCCTTCCTGCCCCCCTCTGGCAGACACGACGCCGAGACCAGGGGGCCACCCTCGGGCCCAAAAGGGGCTCCGGTGCCGGGGACCGTTCCTCCGAGGCCTGGCGTCGGGGAGCCCGGCTCGGCGGGCGGGGCCCGCCGTGGCCGGAGCAAGAGGCCTCTCCTGGGGCGTCTTTCCCGCTCGGCGTTCCTTCCTCGGACTCCTCGGAGGCCTATATAGAGGTGGGCGCCGGCACCGATGTCGGCAGTGTGCCTCCAAGGGAAGACGATCCCGATCTCGGCTTTGCCTCGCTGTTTTTCTGGCGCGGCGTTCCTTACTCGGGGGCCTCGAGGCTGGCAGCAGCACTGATATCGGCAGTGTGCCTCCACCAAGGGAAGACGCTCCCGATCTCGGTGATGGTGGTAATTCGTATCCGGGCTTCCTGGGTGGCCGAAACATCACCGCCGACACGAGCATCTGGGATTATCTTCTCCCTGTGGAGGCACCCCCTTTTTCTGGGTGTTGGTGCCCGTCTCAAGGCCTTCACCTTACGGGTGCCTTCGAACACAGAGGCGCCCATGCAAACCAGCCAAGAGACGGAGCGACCGCCCCCTCTTTACCCCCCCGCGTGGCCACCCTCGGGAGGTACGCAGCCTCACTGCCGTTGACCATTGGTTGCATGCAGCCCTGCAGTGCCGCCGCATCGGTGTGCCTCGGGGCCACTTCGGTAATCTCCATGGCCCCGAGTGGCCCCGAGGAACATCGATGCGGCGACAGTGCAGGGCTGTATGCAACCAATGGTCAACGGCAGTGAGGCTACCTTCCAATGTTCACGTTCACACTTGTGGGCCGCAGAAGTGGGCATTTTTGTCCGAGACGGTTTGCGCTCGCCCAGGCCGCGGGCTCCGAATCCTCGGGAACCAGTTCCGAGGGTTCCGTGCCCCGCCTGGACGCGTCTTGGGGATGCTTTTTTTTGTTTGTCGAAAGCCACCGTGTGGCCGCACGACGACTACTCCCCCAGGGGTCGCTTTTCGTCCCGGATCCATTTCTGATGGTCCCTGGGCCCGAGAACGGCTCCCGCAGAGGCCGAGCTCGGGGAGAAATGCCATGATTGAAAAGCTCAGATCGTTGGAGATCTGGGTTCAGCGTTCGCTTTTTCGTGGTACGGTCGGACCGTGGTATAAGATTGAGGTGACTTCGGGGAGGGTGCCCTCACACCCTAAGGTTCTTCGTGCTTCTTGGATGAGGGTGCCCTCACACCCTAAGGTTCTTCGTGCTTCTTGGATGTTCTTGTGCATCCTAGGGGAGGGCACCCTCGAATGTTTTTCAGTTTGGGCCGGCGGAGGGTCTCGTGTTCTTGGAGGATGTTCTTCTGTCTTCGGTCCGACCGCAGCCCGACGACCGCCTCCCCCCTGGCACCAGAAGCCCCTGCCTCGGACCCACGACGTCGACCCCCCCGCTCGGTCTTGACCCCTTCCCTGGGGCCGCTTTTCCTCATCCTGAGCCGGAGCAGTTTCTGGGCGGCCCCGAGGCCCGCTGAGGGCCCCCCAGAGGCCGATCCCATTGCGAAAGCCCTTCCGCCGTGACCTTCTCATGGCTCGAGGGGGTCTGGGCCTGCGCGGTCAGGGGGAGTGTTTTTAACAAGCAGCGCCGCCCTTCGCGGAGTGTGCCCGAGCTGCATGTCGCGCGAGTTGCAGCCGCGCCGCGCTGCCATTCAAGCAAAAAAAGCGAGGGCCTGGTCTCCGAGTCGGGCCCGGACGCCGCCGAGTCGGGCGGCGACTCGGGGTCCACCTGCGAGGGCGGGCGCGAGGGCGACTCGGGGTCCGCCTGCGAGGACGCCCGCCGCCGCCGCTGGCGTCCCCAGACCTCCCACGCACTGAAGCAATCAGCCCTGAGATCCCGGCTCGCTTTTTTTGAGCCTCCGTCTCACTTTCGGGCGGCATCGCCCAACTTCGCGTTCTGGGCGTTGTCGCCTAACTTGGCTAGCTTTTCGAGATCCGGGCGTTTTTCTCTTGACTTTGGGGCCCCCAGGCTCTCACTCGGCGGCCAGCGAGGGGGGGAAGTGAGGAGGGGCGGGCCTTCTCAGAAGGCTCCAGAGTACCCCCCCGGCCATTAGAGAAGTTTTCTAAGCCTTCCCCTAAGACACAGAAAACTTCTCAGATGGCGCGAGGGCTTCTGAGAAGCCCCGCCGCCTTCTGAGAAGGCCGGCTCTTTCTGATTTCCCCCCCTCGCTCGCCGCCGACTTACACAGATCGAGCCGGTTCGAGAAACGCAGCAGGAGGATGGGGTCTGGGGCTCCAGTCGTGATGTTTCACGATGCGATGCTGTATTTTTTTCCGCGTCGTCGGATCTCAGGGAAGACGGAGGTGTTCGCCGTTCTTTCCCTACTGGCGTTTCGCTCGGGGTTTTCATGGTGGTTCGAAAAGACCGCGGAAAAAAGCCCCACAGGGGGGACGGGGAGCCATAGACCGCGTTGTCCCTCTCTGTTTCGCTTGAGACTTCCCCACAATTTATTCTGGAGTCGTGCTCTCGCCCCAATTCCTGTTACATGTTTCGTCCAGAGAACCACGTTTTTTGTAACAAATTCACTAAGGTGCAGGTGGCCGTGCTCTCGCCTCAATGCCAGCTATATTTTTGGTTTTGACGGCCTCGATACCCTGTAAAACACACTCAGGGTACCTGGTCGGGCTCTCACCCTTGTCCCGGCTGCTCTTTTCCCTGCCCCGCATTTTCGCAGTCGTTGCTACTAGGGTGCTTTGCTGGGATAATCGGCCTCTGGGGGCCCTCGCCAGGCCCAGGCATCGTAAAAAACGGTTCAGGATGAAACGCGGGCCCACCTGCGAGGACGCACGTAGCCGCCGCCGTCGTCCCAGATCTCAGACGACCTGTTTTTTCGATTCCGGTGTTTTCTTCCCGATGTCGTTCCCTGAAAGCCGTTTCTGGGCCCAGTATCCATCAGAAACGGATTCCACGGATCGAACAACATCACATCGGAGAGTGTCAGGTGCCGTCGTCGTCGTCGTTGTCGTCGTCGTCGTCGTCGTCGTCGCCGCTTCCGTCGCCGTCGCCGTCGCCGTCGCCGTCGCCGTCGCCGTCCCCGGCGTCGTCCTCCTCCTTGTGAGGCGGCAAAGGGCTGAGAGCGGTGCTGCCTCCTCCTCCTCCTCCTCCTCCGCCTCCTCCTCCTCCTCCTCCTCTCCTCCTCCACCTTCTCCTCCTCCTCGCTCCTTCTCGCTCCTCCTCGCTTCGCCTCCAGAAGGCGGGGTCCAAGCGGTGGATGCTCGTCCGAGGCCCCGAGCTAGCAATTTCGCGACGCTGCTTGACGCGGGCTGGACCCCACGGGCTGCGACTCTGTGGACGCGGCCTAACTCCATAGGGGTCGATGAGTGGACAATCTCCCAGGGAATAGACTCCAGCTTCGGCCGCGAGGACCCCGACGAGCTCGTTTCCTGATGTCCAGATTGCCCTGCGGCGAAAAGCAGCGGCCCACTTCTGTGGCGACGATGTGCACCAAGGTGGCGGTGACACCACCCAGAGTCGCTCAAGAAGTTCGAGGTGCGGTCCCAGCACTTGGAGTGGGAGCTCAGCTTGGCGGTGGAGTACTGGTGGACGATGGCCGCTTCGGCGGCTTCGCGATGCTGGATACAAGGCTGATTTGCTTGGCCCGCGGTGCAAGGCAGAGCCCGCGAGGCTCCTGCGCCAGACTTTGGACCTGCGCGTGCAACGCAGGTGACGGCGCCTTCGCCCTCACGGCCGACCTCGTCCCGTCGCCTTTGCGCAGGCCGAGGGTTCCCCTGTCACTCTGGCTTCGTCGCCTGCCACTGCGACGTTGCTGTCCAGGAGCCGCCCTTCGGAGGCGATGTAGGGTCGTGTCGCCAGGGCGACCGAAGGCCTGTCTTGCTTGGCCATTGGCCAGGAGGGCCGCGCGCCCGGGGTCCCAACCCCCAGGCCGTGCTGGGGTCTTCGCCCCTGGGCCGCACAGAGACGGCCGAGCTCAACACCTTCGGGAACGCGTGTGCCGACGTGTGTGGGCCGCCCTCCCCGTCCCCGCATCGCCCCCCCCGGCTTCCCCCCGTAGACGCCCGCCGCGTGACTGCTCCCGTGGCCAGCGACCCAAAGCGTGCCGACGTGCGTCATGGCTCTGCCGGGGAGCTGGCGCGCCATGATTCGGGAGCCTTGCGACGGGGGTCGCTGCAAACAGCGGTCAGCCAGAGCGCCGGATCTTGCAGGATTCTGCAGAGCCAGGAGTGCACGGACCCAGGCTTGCGCGCAGGCTTCTGCAGGACCCTGCAGGATCTTGCAGGATCCCGCAAGGCTTGACTGACCTGGGCTTGCACTGACCCGGGTCAGTGCGTCCCCGAATGGTGCTGGAGGTGAGCGAGGCGCCGCCGACCGACGTCATCCGTGCGCAGGCCATCGGTGCCCCTCGCTGAGCCAGGGCCGCGTTCGCAGTGTGCACGGAGTTTGGCCAGTGGTGCCGTGAGCGGCCGCCGCGCCAAGCGGTCCCCTAGGGGCCTTGTCTGCAGCAGCTTCTAGGGTCCGCCACCATTTCCGATGCGAGCAGCGGCGCCTGTTGTCGCCTCGCGTGTGGCCTGGTCGCACGTACGCCGAAGAATACAAAGCGACATAGGCGTAAACTTTCGGAGCTCCACGCGGGTTTCTTGGCCCGGCGCTGCAGCCCTCTGGCGGCGCCTCTGGCGCCGCCCCTGGCGCGCTCCGCGCGGAGAGGGGTCCGGCGCAGATCCAAGAAATCCGCGCGGACCTCCGAAAGTTGGTGTTCATGCAGTTTCTTCTCCCTCAAGTAACAGTGCCATTAAGCACGGGTGCACGACGTCGTGCCAGCCCGTGGGAGGTGGCACGGCCTGGTCCGTTGTCGGCGAGGAATGCAGGGCAGGACAGTTGCCGCATCCTTGTCGCCGCGTTAGAGTGTGGCGGAAGCTCCATTCCGCATTGTGCGCGGTCTGTGGCAAAACCGCTATGGTCGATCCGCGGCACCCGCGCGACCAGTGCACGGCCCTCCCAAGGATGGGCGATCAGAATTTTGCGCGGATCGTCAAGGGCCTTCTCCCCCACCCGAACGGATGTCCTGAATTCGCTCGCGCTGCCGCGCCCGTACATTTCGCTGCAGCTGCAGCTGGGCCCTCCGCCTGGCGAGTATTTCTAGTGGGGGCGGTTGGGATGCAAAGACCTGGCCGCCTCCCCAGCCCACGTGCGCTACTCCCCCCCGTTTTGGGGCGGCCACGAAGGGGGTGATGACCAGGGGGGTGGGATAAGTATCATGGCGGGGGCCATGATATCTCCCAGGTCTCCCGGCCCCCTCTTCTTCTTCCAGTGCGTCTCCTGGCCTCCCCCCCTAGGCCCTCGGGCGATGATTTGTGAGCCCTCCTCTTCGACGCCCCCCCTCGTGGACGCCCCCGACCCGTCGCTCTTCCAAACTCCTCCTCCTCCCAGCCCTCCCTGCCGTGTCAACGGGCCAACCTTCAGTCTCGCTGGGTCTCTCTGCTGCTCGCCGCCCCGGCGCGTGCCGTCCCACGCGCGGGGGCCGGCGGGGTGGAGCCCGCACCGCCCTCCCTCCCTCCTGCTCCTCCTCCTCCTCCTCCTCCTCCTCCTCCTCCTACTCCCTCTTCGTCTCGCCCTGCGACGGCCCCGAGCAGGACGACGCGGATTTGCTGATCTCGGACGCCCTGGTCGCCGTTGGCGCGCGACCGGGGGTGACCTGACCGGCGGCCTCACGATAGGCCGACAGCGTCCCTGCTCGGCCTTCCCGTCCCTCCTCCGCCGCCTCATCTTCTCTCTCTCTCTCTCGCTTTGTTTGCTTCTTTCTTTCTGTTTCTCTCTCTCTCACTCTCTCTTTTTTGTTTTCCTCTCTCTCTCACTCTCTTTCTCATTATTTGGTTTCCTCTCTCTCGCTCTCTCCTTTTTGTTTCTCTCCCTCCCTCTGTCTCTGTCTCTCTCTCTCTCTATATCCATCCCTCATTATCCTATCCTCATTCCTTGCCTCCTTCTCTTTCTCCTCCTCCTGCTCTTCCTCCCCCTCCTCCTCGTCCTCCTCCTGTTCTTGTTACATTGCACCGGCGCTGAACGAAGCGATCGCCGCGTCTGTCCTCCTCCCTTTCCTCTTCCTCCTCCTCTGCCTCCTCCTCCTCCTCCCCCTCCTCCCCCTCCTCCTCCTCCTTCTTCCTCGCTCCTGCTCCTCCCTCCTCCTCCTCCTCCTCCTCCTCCTTCCTACACCTCCGCCCCCCTCCTCCTCCTCCCTCCTCCCTCCTCCTCCTCCTCCTCCTCCTCCCTTTTTCTCTTCCTCCCCCTCCTCCCCCTCCTCCTCTCCTCTCCCCTCCTCCTCCTCCTCCTCCTCCTCCTCCTCCTCCTCCTCCTCCTCGCTCCTGCTCCTCCTCCTCCTCCTCCTCCTCCTCTCTTTTTCTTCCTCCTCCCCCTCTCGCTCTTGTTCCTCCCTCCCTTCCCTCTCCCTCACTTCCTCTGTCTTGTCTGAGCCTCGTCTGCCTCTCCTGGGCGGGGCGTGCACCTCTGGAAGCCCTGGGCATAGGGCAGAGGGCACGCCCACCACGCTGTCTTTTTTGTCTTGTCGGTCTCTCTCTCTCTCTCTGCCGAGGGTGCGCCCGCCCGCTGCACCCTGGTCGTCGAGCCCGCTGCTGGGCGTTTATCTACATACGCGCACGCCTGGCGCACTTCACCGCTTTCAGATCACTGGCGATGATTCGAATTCAATAAAACGGCATAAGCATCATTTTTCTGAGATTCTTGCGAATTTATTGCATCGTCGTGGGGCCCCCTGGAGGCGCCTCCTGCGCCGCCCCTGGCGCGCTCCAGCGCCGATCCACGAAATCCACGCGACTCTCAGAGAAATTATGTCGATGCAGTTTTTTGTTTTTCTTACTTCACCGCTTCACCGTCCCCAGGTTCTCCGACGATGAGACTTTTTCATTCCCGGCATCTTACCTCGATTTCGGCCTCCGCGGGCCGTTCTCGGGTCTGAGCAACATCTCAAGCGGATCAGGGTCGTAAAACTGCCCTCGCGGAAGGGGTCCAGAGGTCTGGGGGCGCGGATTGGACAAATCACATCGTCGGATGTCCGGTCCCTCGTCTCCTGCCGTGTCGCCACGGCGACACGGTGGGACTGCTTTCGTGCCCCTGGGCCGGCAGAGGGCAATCCACGGCGCGGTGCCTGCGAAGCACGTCCCATCGGGTGCGCTTGGTGCTACACGTGTCCCAATGGGTGCGTGCAGCAGCAATGTCACAGAAGGTATGCTTGTACGACGTATGAGAGTAGCACTACTTCTAGAACTACATTGAGCACGCACACGAATACTCCGACTTGTGCTGCGACTGCGACTGCTACGACTGCTAAGACTACTCGAATTCGTCCTCTTACGACTACTATTACTACTACTGCTGCTGCTGTTACTGTTATTCTCCTTATTGTTGCTATTACCACAACAACAACAACTACTACTACTACTCCTACTACTAGTAGTAGTACTACTACTACTACTACTACTACTACTACGACTACTACTACTACTACTACTACTATAACTATTATTACTAATGCTACCACTACCACGACTATTGCTATTTATTTTGCTAATATTCTTTATTACTACTACGACTATTACGGCTACGTCAACTACTACTGCTGCTACCACTACTACTACTACTACTACTACTACTACTGCTGCCACTACTACGACTACAACTATTACCATTATTACAACGACGACTACGACTGCGACTACGAATATGACTATGACTACGACTACGACCACTACTGCTATCGCTACTATTGCTGCTGCTACTGTGATGACTACTACTACTACTACTGCTGCTACACCTACTACTACTACTACTACTAATACTACTACCACTACTACAATTACTACTACTACTCCTACTCCTACTACTACTACTACTACTATTACTACTACTACTACTACTACTACTACTACTACTACTACTACTACGGCCGACTATTTTCCTACTACGAACGACGACTACTATTATTATTGTTTCTACTACCACTTTATCCCTCTGTTTCTTCAACTACTAGTATTATTACTTCTACGACTACAACTAGTAGTAGTAGCAGCAATCGTAGTATTATCACTGTTATATTACTCCTACAACAACAACAACTACTACTATTACTATTACTATTACTATTACTATTACTATTACTATTACTATTACTATTACTATTACTATTACTATTACTATTACTATTACTATTACTATTACTATTACTATTACTATTACTATTACTATTACTATTACTATTACTATTACTATTACTATTACTATTACTATTACTACGACTACGACTACGACTACTCCTACTCCTACTACTACTTCTACTACTACTACGACTACAACGACTACTACGACTACTACTACTACTACTACTACTACTACTACTACTACTACTACCACTACTAGTGCTACTACTACTACTACTACTACTATGACTACTGCTACTACTACTACCACTACTATTACTACTACTACTACTACTACTACTAGTACAACTGTTACGACTACTACTACTACTACTACTACTACTACTACTACTACTACTACTACTACGCCTACTACTACTACTACTACTGCAACTACTACTACTACTACTACTACTACTACTACTACTACTACGACTACGACTACGGCTGCAGCTATGACTACGACTACTATGACGACTGCGACTACTAGGTCATTGGTTGTTTCGTGGCTTTTGTGTGTGTTGCATGTGCGCAATTCTACAGATTATTTGCCATAAGGACGATGGCGAATATGGCTGCCACAATCTGGCCTTGCTCAGGCATCTTTTTTTTCCCAACCATTCCATGGAATTATTAATGAGGCATCTTTAGTTCGTAATCCTTCATGAAATATGCATCCGAAGGCATCCTTTGATGAAGACTCCTCGAATACTATTCGTTTATACAGGAAGGCTTACGAAGGAATCCTTGCGACGGAATCCTTGCAAAGGGATCCTTGGTTAGAAATCCTTATTAAGGGTTTTTCTCAGGAGTCCTTAATGCAGAACCCTCCTTGTGATTTCCTTCGTTCGACATCCTCGTTGAGGATCCCTTAGTACAGAACCCTTCCTAAGGAGTTTTTCATGACGAACGATTAGTAAGGAGCCTTTGCTGAACTATGCTGAAAGTAGAGTCCTTGTGCCATAATTCTTAACACTCAGTCGTTTCCAATGGGGTCCTGAGTGAGAACTCCTTTTTGGAAAAAATGATGAATGAGAAGCCCTTACCGTTTAATCCGTAATCGAGATTCCGGCTCTCCGAATCCTGCGCTCGCCAGCTAAGGCTTCAAACCATTGGAAGAAATAAAGCAACAACGCGAATACCATTTGAAAGGGTTCCAAGAGCCCCCCAAAACGTAATTCGCAGCTTAGTCGGCGTGGGAGTCGCCAGCTTTGCAGCCCAGAACTTAGCCGACAAAGTCCCGAACTCATTCTCTGGGAACCCTCACAGGGATGACTGTTTTCTTGTTTTGGGGGGGGCATTGGTTTCCCAAATGGTTTCCGCTTATTGCGAAGGCCATACGGCCAGTGCCGCCGACCATGAAGGACGACGACGACGACGACGACGACAACCACGACGACCACGACGATGTCGACGACGACGACAAGGACGACGACGACGACGACGACGACGACGACGACGACGACGACGACGAGGACGTGGGTCCGAGTCCTCAGGAATTCTGTTTGGGGTCTCGACGGAGCGCTCTCG